TAAATGGCTCCACAGAAGTGCTCTGACTTATGTGGAACTACTTGCAAAGCCAGCTCCAGTCTGAAGTTAGAGGTCATTATAATTATTTCAAAAGTTGACATTTAATTAAAAAGGTGTAAAGAAAAGATAAAAGTATATATTTTGAGAATATACTGTTGGCTGACTTCTCATGCCAACTGAATTTTACTAAGACTTTTTCGTCATCCTTTTGTGACAAAGGCTCAATAGCCTTTCTCTGATCAAGCTAGAATGTATGACCGTGGAGTATGGTATTTTTCAATGAATGAATCAATGTGTTAAAAAGACATACTGAAGTATTCAGTTGTGGTTTAGGACTACTGCATTGGATGGTATGTTGGAAGAACATTGCTTTAATCTGGCCACCAGAAGATTTAAGCAATCTTTGGCTTTAGGGCGCCTCCAGGAAAAACACTTACTTATTCTTCAGTTATCAAAGTTTTTTTTTTCCCTACACATGTGTAGGAAGAGATGAGCAAATTTTCAAAAAAAAAGTTCTCAGATACTAGAGATAGATACCTAGAAGAAGACAAATCAGACGATTTAGTAAGTAGCAAAAATATTAAATATTATAAGTTAGTCAATAAAACAATTACTACTTTGAGCAGCAGAACTACTGAAGCTTGGTTTCCTATGGATTTTGTCTCATGGATATGTCATGGCATCAAGATACGAACTGCAGCCAAAAGGTCTCCATGGTTACAGGTGATTATTGTGGTTTTATCCTGTAGCCTGTCTTTTACTGAAGGCATTGTATCTGGCCATTAATTTTCATATAAAACTGTAGAACTCTTCGATCTTAGAGAGTCTTTGTCAGATTTGGTTGGCCAATCTACACTAGGCAACCAGTTCAACAGCTGTGGAGGTGTAGGCAAACAAATATTGTGGACACCTATACCTCATTTTCTTAACAAGTGAGGCTACCAAACCCCTCTTCCCACCAAATGTAAATACATGCTTGTGTAAAGGTGCATATGTATAAATCCAAAAGTCAAAAAAATAGAGGAGACAGAAAAAAAAAACCAATTAAGAAATTATAGGAAAATGTTTGACTTCAGATGCAGTGACAAAAGGCAGGAAAGGGCTCTACATATTAAAAGCAGTTCAAAGAAATCTCATTTGCAGCTTTCACAGGGATATATCATATTTAACTTTGATGCCATGGTTTAATTCTGAAATCATAACTACAGGAAAAGCATTTGTGAAAGTTTTGTAAGGTTTTTGGAAAGCCTTTCTGTGACAGACTGTTACCTAAACTAAAACGAGCAGGGATTCAAAACATAGCAACATGAAAACAGATAAGGAGAATTTCCAGTGGTTCTTAAGGCTTGTTTCTGGGTCTTGGTAAACATGAGTTTATGCTGTAGCCTTTCTCTTACTGCAGGTACTCTATTTGGCCATTTTTTTTCATAAAAACGATAGGAATGGAATATCATTGAGGTCTTCCTGACAATCTTTTTGTAAACTATTACTGCAGGTACAGTGAAAGACTGAACTTGATTTGCTGATGGAAGAAAGCGAATACTATGGTTGGACCATAGAGACTGCACAAGCTCATCTCCCAGCCTCTTCCAGTCCTTCATTATCTTTTGAGTGCAGTCTAATGTCCATCTGAAGTTTCCATGCTGCAATTCAAGCCTGTTACTTCTCGTCCCATCTTTCTTTTCCTGTCTGGTTATGGATGATAGTGTGCCCTTATTCACTGAGCAGCAGCCTTTCATGTTTGTGTTCTTATGCCAAGTGGGGTCTCTGTTTGCTGTCACATAAGGAAAAGCTCCTCGTCTTCTCCACCTCTAAGAACTCTGGAATATGTACTGTCATCTATTGCATTCCCATTTCTGTTTAATGATGGCTGAAGCACAGCAGTGTGAGATATGATTAAAGCAAGTGTGGTATTTACAGAATAACTGACAAAATTTTTGCAGCTATTGAAATGCTTGTCTGGTTAATTTTATTTTAAATCTCTTTTTCACAAAATTATTTCTTCTAATCTTCACCATCTGAATAACAAGTATAATCAGCAAGCTGAAATTAAAATATCTGCAACCTCTGCCCTTCAAATCAATCACAAATTAAACCTGAAAAGAATGTGTTCTAGTGGATAAAAAAAACTTTCCAAAGAAATCTTTTCTATTAATCTCTCCCCACTGAGGCAAAATATGTACCCTTTCTTAAAACCAATATAAATAAATGTAAGCAACTTTTAAAATGACATTTTATTTGCCTTCATCAGATCTTGAAGTAAATGCTGATTTAGAAACCTCAGACTTATTGCCAGATGGCAATGGAGTAGATGTCTTTCACAAGCAGCAAATCAGCAAAGTGCATAGGATATTCATTGAAAATTTGAAAGACATTCCATGCACATAGTACCTAGGTGACCCTTCAGAGCTTTATGAAAGATAGCATCTTAGGAACTAGCCACAGAATGATTTTGGTAGGAGCATTTTGAATATTTTTCTGCAGTGTTTGCCTGTAGTGTTGCTTTCTTCTTTTAACAGTTGATAAGAAAATGCTAGTTGCCTTTTAGGGAGATTTGGCTCAGTGCAAAGGATTTTTAGAAATTCCACCATAAACATTTCTCACATACACTTTCATCACTGTCATTTGAAAAGTCCGGTGACAGGTGATGGTACTGACTCTTTGCCCAGTACTGTACTCACTAGGAAGTGCTTTTGTTATAGTACAGGCTGTTCTGTTTTCTGGATCTGAAGGTTGCTGGTAAATTCCCTTCCTGTTAGCTGTATTTGAGTAATATTCTTTACAAGGAAAAGAATCAATGCAAATGGTAATCCTTCAAAACACCTGAGTCAGCAGTGCATGCCAGAGGGCCGAAAAAATGTGAATTAATGTTCTCTGATTTACCGACGAGGTCCATTCCTCCAGTGCAAGTATTTAATCTGCTGACAAGAATTTAAGAGACTTTTTACAGCTTAGAGACCAGCCTAACATCACAAATATGATACAAATAAGTATACCTTTGGAAGTAATTATAGTGCAACATAATGAATATCTCCTCTGTCTCCAATTATGTGCATACAGTTGTAAGGGATCCTGCAAGTTCTTGCCTATCAGTATGTGCAGGAAGAAAATATTTGGAACATAAAAAAACTTGCACAGTTTCTCATTCCCTGTTAAAATCTCTGGAAAAAAATAGGGTCAGATCCAGTTTTCTCCTAATCAGTCTACTCAAGTCCCCAATTGCCTACTTCATTTACTTCCCAACCATATCCATTAGATAAAACTAGTAAGCATAATAAGAAATCAATTGAGGAATGCTTGCTTTCCATCTTCAAACTCACCATTTGTGAATCAATGATAGTTCTTTGTGATACATGAAAGCTTTTCCTTTGTTTTATGATTTGGTGTGAAGTTATGAAACCCTGCATTGAGCAGGCATACGCCTGGCAAGAACCAACTATGAGAAATGTCACTGATTAAAACACGCACATTTTATTTCCTAGTGATTACTTAGTTCTGATAACATTTTGAAAGCTTAATGAACTGTGGTACTTCTTAGCCTAGTAACTAGCACAGACTTAGAAATAGGAATTAAATATGTTTCTACTGGAAAGTGCAGGTCAGGGCTGAATAATTAAAAATAAGGAGTTTACCAACTCCAAGTGCAGTTTCTTCTATGCAAACTAACATTAGAGCGTTGTTCAGTTGACGTACACATGAAGTTTGATACCAGGTCAAACTTTATCAGGAGAAGCAAAGTCCAATTCATAAAAATCCTACATCCGCACTTATATGCCCATGGCCAGGTAAGTATTAGTGACATATTAATCAGATTTGGGGTTTTGCAGATGTAACCTTGTTTTCAGCTGGGAGACTGTCTCACTCCTTTCCTGTCCTGAGCTATTCACAGTGAGTAGGCTAAGCAGCAGGTGGGGAGGGGGAGAAAGCATGTGTTCCTCCATTTCTGCAAAGTTTTTTTCCACATCGTTTCTCTATTCCCTACCACTGATCCGTTTAGTGAATTTCCACTCCTCCCATACTAAACAGAAGATGGAGGCCTATGGACAAGAGGGAATTGAAATGGTGATAAAGTTGATGTGAAAGCTTAAATGTCTGCAAGGCAATGTTGTAGGAAAGACAGTATATTTTATTACAATAATTCATATAGTTGGGGGAAAACAAATGAGCTTTTGGGTATACAAGCCTTTCTTCAGTTCTGCAGAAGATGTGCACACATTTTGTTGAATAATTTTGGTTTCCATGTACTGAAGTAGTGCTCACCATCCATGGTTAACTTAAACTTGCCTGTAGCAGAGGATGTGAATTCTTTTGAGAAACCCTAAATAAAACTGAGAAAGGTTGTATGGAAATGTTTTGTTTTGTTTTTTCTAAAGCCTCTGACATGGTGAAGATTGCAGCATGCTGGGTACTCTTTATGCACAGGGTACATGCTGTCTGTGCATACTCTGCAGTTTTCCTCTTATTGCCATAAGTATGCCTTAGTTTTCATATCATGGAGCAACTCTTGAATGCAGAGATGGCATCAGATGGTGGACTTCTCCACTGTGATTATTAGTAGGATGCCATTTCTAACTGCAGGTTAGCAGCGTTGTCGCTGAGCCACGTTAGGACCATATTAAGGAGCTACAGCCATGAGACATTTATCAGGTGATAACTACTAGCAGCTATAGACCTGGGTCAAATTCAAATGAATAACCTAGATGTGAAAGGCCATGTATCGTGTTCAGTGAGCCATTCTGTTGCCTGAGACTGTGGACTTAGTGATCCAGGACAAAATTAAATAGAAACAGTCAAATGAATGTCCAATTTTACTCAGTCATGCAAATATATTATGACATTACAGCTCTGTGGAGAGATATACTGTGGTTGAGATAATTATGACTGCTAATTTTCAGCCTTGTTGCTAAAGGACATTCCTCTGGAAATTATTACAAAGATGTTGAAAGCGCTATTTGAAAGACAATTACTTTTACTTAACTCCAGACTGAAAGGCAAAGGAATTTATGATGTTTGTAACATGTTATTTCTATAAAACGTGTTTGTTTCCATAAACAGGCACAAAATGCATTCACATAGCAGTATCAAAGAATTATTGCAGATCTGGCTTGGTTCTTCTTTTTAGACAAAACCTAACAGCATAATAGTGCGATAAAGATCTGAGTGGCTTTCTGGTCACTTTTAGTTTTTCTTCTTAAATATCTGATGGCACACCTGGTCTTCACACGTCAGTTCCTACAGTATTAAAACAATTAGTAAGCATGTAGTGGTACAAGTTGTACTTTGCATACACAGCAGACCCCACCACAAATTACTACAACTGAACCTCTGCATTAAAAAGATATTTTTATGAAAAAGAGAACAAAAAGAATAGTGTATTATATGCAACCAATCAGCAGGCACACACCACATGTTGCAGTAATTAGATTTTGACACTTGAATTGAACTCTAAGAAGAATAAACATGAAAAATGCATTAAAATTGCTCTTTAATGCAAGGCTTTTTCATACTCTGTTATTAAATCAACATACTGTAATAGTTTATAATTCACATATTACCTCATAATTCATGAGAAGCAATGAAACAAGGAAATAATAAAAAAAAAAAGCAGGATGCTTTAAAAAGATGAGGACATTTGCTTCAGAGATGTGCCCAGCCATTTTTCAGGGGCCAGAGCAATACACCTTTTTTGCCCAGTGTTGCAGCTGACCTCTTAAAGGTTGTCACACCTGCACATTGCAATGCAGTTAGTTTAGTTAGTCTTCCAATTAGCCAGCATTCCTGTGCCAAATTAGATTTTGAAGTGAGCTTTTTAAGAGGCTTTTTGGCCAGCAGCTGGCCAAACCTGCAATAGAGTTTCTGAAGACTGCTGTAAGAATCTCCCTGGTTTCTCTGCTTCCACCAGTCCTAGTCTGAATTCTGGTGCCAGCATGTAGAACCATTGTTAGGTCAGTTTTTGAATATGTGTTAAATCAGAGTCGAAAAAGTGTACTGAACAGTTGTCTTTCAGTTAGGCAGCAGATGGTTTTTTAATTCATTGCCTTGAGCTTTCAAGCATCCAGACTTGAGGCAATGTTGTGGCCATACCAACTACCTGTAGGGTAAACTTGTGAAGGGGTAGATACCTAAATGAAAATCATGAAACAGAACAATGAACTCTCCTCCATAATTTTTCTGCACCCACCTACTCTCCCAAGAAACTCTGGAATCATTATAATTATGTATCTATTATTCTGGACTTCACTGGCTGTTTATTTCCTTCACAAGCTCTTCTTGGCCTTTCTTGGACTCGTGCCATTTATATTTGGGCTCCAGCTTACTAACTCAGATGTATGAATTTTTTGACTATTTTATTGTACTAGCACAAAGTAATTGCAGTGTAGGTTGTTTGCAGGATCCTCTTGAGTATCCAGAGGTATCTGATCTGTATTACAGCTTAATATGCTAAAATTTCATAGTGCTTCTTTCAGAACAAAAATTAGTATTTTTCCTGCAACCTGTCTCATACAGTTTTGGTTTTGGGGTTTTTTTGTCTCCCACTGATTATACAAGGACAAGATGATGTTAGAGGCGCAATGTAACGAGAAGGGTTAATAGCTGGAGGGCAGTGGACTGGAGCAAAAAAAACCACTGCAGGGTTATGACTTAATTGGGAGCAGGAGGAAAGAAATTCAGCATTCCTAAATTGTAGCAGAGGGGGATTTCCTTACAGTTCAGAGATCAGAGCTGTCTACATAAAGACCATTCTAACGAGAACAAGTAACAAACCCTTTGAAATGGAAAACTGTACTTTGTTGCTGTCTCAGTTAGGAGCTAGGTATCTGTATAGAAGCCCTTACCAGATGCAGCAGATCTCCTTCAATCCAGTGCTTCCAGCCCCTGTTTTTCTTTTCACCCTTCTGAACGCATACCAGTTTGTCACCATCCCAGTTCACTATTGTCTGCATGAATCAGATAATTAACTCAGATATGTTAATGAGAAATACATGAAAATAAGCTCAATCAAACAACAAGAAGACACAGTTAGAGTTGCTTCCTACCATTCCCAGTCTTCCTCCTAAAAAAACCCAAACCAGCCATTCAACAAAAAAACATTCAAGATGACAACAAGGTTTTGATGTGAAGCTTTTACAAGGCTTTGTTGTCATTTCTATGTATTTCTTCACATGTACAAATATGAAGTGTTCATGCTAACTAGTGAATTGCTGAGTGAATTAACAGGTACTCATGCAATGTATGCAAGTGGTATTGTTTTTTTCTTGCTTTTAAGCCATTAATAAATAGATTATGGTTTCATGAGTGAAGACCTGGGGGCTTATGCCAACTAGTGCCATGCTAACATCTTCCTTAGTTCTGCATAAAATAACAAGAGGAAGTATACATTAATATAATCTCATACAATAACTGTATTTATGTATTTTCATGCATTTTCACAAGAGACCTTTGAAGAGATATGATCACAAGCTGGACAGTGTGCTCTAGCTGACCCTGCTTGAGCAGAACGTTTGAACCAGGTGATCTCAAGAGGTCCCTTCCATCCCCAACCATTTAATGATTTGGTGTGATCCTGTCTATCACTAATAAACAGGGTATTGGGTATGCTGGTTTTTGTCCAGGAGCAGGATGACAGTAGCTGTAAGGAATATAGGCTACATTCTCTACTCAGATATGCTCGAGTACATTCAAAGCAATTTTGAATTGTTCTAGATTTGAACCATTGTACTTTAGGGAGACATTGAACCATGTATCACAGGCAAATCTTCATCAGAGACCAGTTACAGTCAGTGGAAGTTCAGTTATTAAAAACCTCCAAGAGTATTGGGAGCTTAATTCATTCTGTAGTTCAGCACTGGATGATTTATTTCTCTTATGAGGGAGCTTTCTATTAATAACAAGACAAAACTCATTCCATTTCAGTTAACTTCTTTTTTATTTACAGAATTTTTAAGCTACATGCTCTTTAAATTATCCATGCCCTCTTTACATTTAAATGTTGCCTAGCAGTTTTATTACCTTCATCTAACTTTAATGCATTTGAGGCATTGTTTTGTTAACAAAATGACCATTCTTTTGGAGCAGTCCAGAGAACAATGCCATGACTTGCTTCCTTTTCCCTTCTTATCTTGTTAGAAACAAATAATTTGTTTAGAAAATAATATTAGGCAAAAATTATTAAACCAGGTAGGGTTATAATTGTACAAGCTGTGTTTCCTTCCTTCCAAATAATTGATAATAAAGAGGAGAGTCTGCAAGTGAAATGATTTTGCACACAAAGGCTTTGATAGTGGTGAAGAGCACTAGAGGAGCATTAGTCTGTGGATTTAAGGAGTGATGCAGCCGAGTCCTCAGATCCTCAGTAATGTTTTCAACTAATCTAAAGAGCTGTGGGAGCAATGTTTTAAAGCATAAACTGTCGCAGGAATATGTGCACACTGAGGAAAGTGATAGGAGGAATATTTAGAGATAGGGATATTCAGGATACTGGGAAAAAAAAAAAAAAGAAACACATCATTATTTGATGGCTTGCAGTGCTGTGGGTGAGAAATAATTTGGAAGAAGTCACAGGAATTGCACTGCACGAAGTGGTTTGAGAATGAAAAGTGATCCACAGCGAATCAACAATGTCTTCTGTTAAATTTGTGCCACTGCAGTGAAGGATGATGTGAGTTCAAATGTAAACATGTCCTTTATGCTGCCAATTTCCTGTGGCATTTGCCAAAACAAAACAGGTCTTGTTGACAGTGAGCTTTGATCTCAGCTTCTCAGAGTTTGGCAACAAGTTCTGAAACCTTGTTTATTGAGAAGATACTGATGGAAAAAACAGCATATGTTTGGAGAAGAGCAAGAGAGCTGAGAACTGAGTGGAAGAATAAAACTGTGGTAATTGGCAGAAGAGTTGATACGGGTAGATTCAGTGAATTATGACAAAGGCAGATGATGCAAGATTGGCAGGACTCTGAAGTGGACAGTCAATAGAAATTTAAGATCTACTGGCCTTTCTGCCCTTGAAAATCTTGCTTAAGTATTTTAGGAGTTAGAAGAGAGTAAAACAGAAGCAGTATTGATGCAGAAACATGAAGCTGCATTCAGTAAGTGAATTTAATTGGTGCTTGTACGTATTCTTTTCCTCACTGATAGTCTTGTTTGAATGCCTCACAGGAACAGACTTACTAGTTGACTCTGTCCAACATGGTCCTTGATCCAAACGTTACTTGTCCACTTATCTCACTGAAAGGTGTCTGAACATATGCCCACAGTTTCCTAGGGCAATTTTGAGCTCAAGTTGCTCCTGTAATCCTAAAAATATTAAAGCATTCACTGCTGGGCCTCCTTGCCTGTCTACACTACCAATAGGGCTGACACCTACATCAGTGGTAGCTTTGGCTTACATTTTTTCTTGTCTCTTCCCAAAGCTCCTTTAAACTTAATAGCTGAATTCAGGTTTATTTTTAACATTGTCCAACTGTTAAAAGGTCAACAGGCTCAGATTAAAAATACTGTGTGAACCTATCCATTCAAAACTGAAAATTTATATTGACACAGAGAAAGTCCTAAATTCAAAGGGATGAATTTACAGTTTCATTAAGAAAGATACATAGGTCAAAATACAGTTTAGCTACTTTCTAAATACATAAAGGTATATCACAGCTGGAAAAATCCTCTACTAGAAAAACTTGTAATTAATGATTGTTCTCACGTATCTGAGTAACCATCCTGATTTGCATTTATAATAAATTCTGGGAGCAGGAAAGAAAACTGTCTCAAGATGCAAATTATTTCTGCTTTATAAAAATCCTCTGATGTCTGTAAAATATTGGTTTGGGTTTTTTTTTCATGTATTCAGCTGATTTTTGGTACTGCTCACTCCTGGTGCTGACTGTAGTGTAAACAGATATCAGGTACCAAAGTTTTACCTTTACCACTCGGTTATCCAGTCCTTTGGTATGTTCTTCAAACTCCACTCCTACAGTGTAATTCAGTTCATAGTTTCTTAAAGTACTGATTGTTTTTGTTTTAAAATTATCTCCATCTTGAATAATCTCCTTTGTTTGTTTCAAGTGTTTTGCAATCTTACGAGTTGCAAAATCAATATCTGCCAAAAAAAAGAACAGAGAATATCACAATGAAAATTCCAGTATTTGTTACCAAAAATAAAAACCCACAGCACTTATATTTACACATAATTTTTAAAAAAGCTCCACAAATGATGCTTTTACCTGCAACATTTTGCAGAGAAAAAGATAATTTCTAATAAAAATAATCTTGTGTTTGTTTGCAAATAGACTTTCAATTTGAGGATCATCCATGGATTACAAATTTATTTATTAACAGGACACCTGTAGGAATGCTGTGAACAAAGCTACAACATACAACCAGTAGTGAATAGATGCTGGCACGTTAAATCACCCGAATCTCCAGTTTTCTCAGAGAATGTGAAACAACAGGGGCTATTAAGACTTTTTGGCCTCACTCACACATGAAGCTGTGGGATGCCAGGAGTGCTATTACCATCTTATGCCTGGGAGCCATTCCCTTTTCTAAGCATGCAGTGTAAATCATGTAGCTCTTAGGCATGTGAGGTGTCCTGCAGGGTTATAAATGTTGGCCACCTCCAAAAGAAGGATCTAAGAATAATACGCCCTTTCATAAAATAAGCGTGTTAGAATGGGTAAGTAATCAAGGAGATTTTGGCATGTTACTTTTATGATGAACTTATAGTCTGTGGGAGTATACAAGAGGTTAATTAATTAATTTTAAAATGAAAATGATACTAATGAATACAAAAGAAACAATCAAATAAAAGCCTGACATTCATTATCGCTAGACAGCAGACACAGAAATAAATTGTAGTTTAGATGTTAAAGGGAGACACATTCAAAGTCAAAAGTCAAAAAAGTGTCAAACTACAGCATTCGACAGTTCCTGTTTAATATTCTGTCAACATTTTATGCAGTACTGATCTCCTTAACATCCTTATTTTGTTCGTGATGAAGACTAACATTATAATGTAAACAACTGTTTGCAACTGAATGCATTGAAAGTTACCAAAAGAGGAATATATATTACCATGCTGACAGTTTGCCCCAGACAATCCACCTAATGCCAGCTGCATTACCATCTGCAATAAATATTTCTGACCAGCTGGCAGTGAATCTTATTATGGTGCTATATGCAAATGAAATAATCTCACATGCTTCTGCAAGAGATTGAAAAATGGTTTTGGTTTGTTAGCCATCCTTTAGTGGTTTTGCATGTGAGTTAATCATTGTCAGCTCAGCAATGCCACATAATAATGGAGCCCTTTTTCTTTTGGTAGATTCATTATACTACTTGCAAAGTACTAATCGAGTTGAGGAAGAGGATTGGCTTGAAAAAAAATGGTGACTTTTTAACGTGGGGAATAATGTTCTTGTTCAGTATTTATATTCAAGACTTCTTGGGTATATTTTATCTGCTGTGGTGGATTAAAGGTATCTCTTGGTCTGAATTATAGACAGGTAAAATAAAATTTAGTTCTCTCTAAGGAAAAAAAATGTCTAGACTTCTAAAGAAATGCTATTTCTGACTAATATATTAGTCTTGTAGCTCCTGGAGAAAAACCAGGGGAGGTTTTATTAAAGCATGGTTTTCATAACTGCATTTTGAACAATACAAGCAATAAAAATGATATATTGTTCTATTATAGCAGATTAAAATACTTTGTAACATGTTTATGATAAAATCAAAGTTTCTGACTTAAAGGGCAAAACTATTCTTTAATTAAAGTATAGAAATGGGTATGCATTAATTAAAAGGATGGATGAATTTTAAAAAAAACAAAGCCTCAGTGTGCTTTGAACCTGGGCACTTTAATACATAAAATATCAACCATATGGAAAATTTTGAGAAACAGAAGAATATCTTTTCACCTTTTCCATGTGATTTCTTTCCATTCCGAGCATTACCTATAGCCATATGTATCTTTGCATTGTTTATGGCGTTGAGGTTTTTTTTGCTAATTCATTGACAGTTTTTAATTAGTATAACTTATAGTATATATACACAAAAATCATGATGTACATATGAAGGGCCAGATCCAGATCCAGACAACTGGTGCAAATAGCTCCTTCATCCCAACAAGTTGTGGGTATTCTTACTGGGAAAATTGTTTCAAAATCTTACCAGAAAGTTTGGTGAGTACCTCTCCAGTAGAGTTTGCCCAGAGTAGGCAATGTGTTTCCCAGGAAAAATATATATTGCATTCCTTATTCTAACACATTCTTTCTCTTGTTTTGTTTCAGGCTATTAAGTGCGTCAAGTTCTTTTATTCTCATGAACTGTTAGTATATTTTTTTTTAAGCAGGCTTCCCAGTATTGGATGTCTGTAGTTCAGACCCTACTGTAGGCTGAATCCATCCATTTTCCTCCCAGTTTCCACTGGGATATAAAAGATCAGAAATGGATCAAAAATTCCCTTGATTTAATAATAACAAAGTCATAATTTATCCACTGACTGAAATGGTTCTAAGGATGCCACTGACATGCAATGAGGAACTGCTGTAGACCAGCTCATGCTAGCATTTATGGTACAAAAAGAATAAAACTGGAAAAAGACATTACTTCTTATAAAGGGATCAGACTATAAGGATGACAATAATTAAACTTTAGTTTAAAGCTAATATGATTAACATTTGTATTATGACAGACACAAAATTCTTACTGAATTACAGTTACAGTTTAAATTCTATGGTGGGTAAATTAAAATTCAAAGAAATGCATCTTTTTAGCAGCTAGTATCCCTTCCCCTGACATTTTTCCTGAATTTTAAGACAAACACAAGTGAAATGTTGTAGCTCAGCTGAAATAAACAATACAACAATCTCATCCGTGATACCATGGAAAGGAAGAAAGGAACAATAATGAGATGGCCACTACAACCAAATGAAAAGTTATCACCATAATTACAAATCCTTTTGGAAAAGAATTATGTGCGCCACAAGTGTCTAATTTACATCCTAAAAAAAAAAATAAGGAAGGAATAAACCTAAAAAATAAAAGAGATATTTATATATATAAAAAAATCAAAAGTAAGTTATCAAATACGATATAATTTATCACTACAAAGCAAGGCAGAACTAGAGCAGGATGACCATCATGGCCAGTGGTTAAAGTAACACCCCATCAAAGTAGGTCAGGTCTTGGAGCAAAGGGCTGAAACAGGACTGAAGCAGAGCCAAAGTAAAGAGAATTGGGTGAGAGCCAAGAATTGTAGGTGAGATCAGAACCTGAGGCAGGCAGTAAGAGAAGCCTTAGGTAGGTGAAGACGGCCTAGAATAATCAATTCGTGACACCTAGGAGCTGACTTAAGTATCATCCAGACCAACAGGCCCCAAGGCTCACTTGCATATTTAATGCTGAAATCACATTTCAGTTGCATGTAAAGTAGTAATTATTCTTTATGCATAACTGTCAAACCCCAGCACTCAAATCACTTCAGTTAGTCAGTATCTTTCTCCTGAAATTCATTATATTAGCATAACCATTTGTATCTTTTAACAATTTTTTGTGCCTCATGGGTGTATGTGTATATAGTACTTACAGGCTTTCCTAAGGTTATTGAGCTTTTCTCCATCAATGCAAAGGCTAAGGACTATGAATAGTGAAACATAACTTTCTCTCTTAAAAGAGTTGAGGATTTGAGGAAATGATAACTATTTTCAGTTGTTGTTGAATAATGAGATTTATGTGTTTATGTGTATTTCTTCTCTTTCAATCTGAGCAGATAAATTAGGGTTAAGATTCTTTAATGAGAGTAAAACTGGTAGAATGTCAGTTAAAGCATCAAATTTTTCATCTCAGTTAATGATTTTGTGGTAGTCATTCCTAAGTCAGTCACTAGTGTAGACATCGAGACACTGAGAATTACTTGAAAATTGTTAGATTTAATTACCTGATTACCTTCCATGTGTTAGACTCTTCTTCCTAACAAATACATTTTCTTAGCTTGTGGAAGATGGCTATGCAGTGTACTCATTGATTTTGAACCACTGAATTATTTTTATAATCTACATCTTTACAAGTAAATATTTTGGAATCCGAGCGAACAAGTTCTTTAGATCTCCATTAACTTGTCTCGACCTTTTGAACAAAGCACAAGAAGCCACAATCTGATCCCAACTTCTGATGAACAGTGCAAGGCAGGTACTTTGACCTGAGAAAGCTCCTGTTTATCAGCATCACTCTTACAGTGGTGTCAGCTGCTGTAGAAAGGGAGAGAAATAAGAAGAGCAAATGCTGAACGGAAGATAGAAATCAATGACCACTAGATAAAAAACAATGAGACATCTGGGAATGAGAAGTGGATAGACGCAGTTGGGCCCCTGAGGGCTATCAATTTTAAGCATAAGAATAAAATACAGGTTTCATTTTTGCCACATGCTACTTTATGATGCAGAGCCAGACAGATTCCTCCAATCTAGGTTAAATTAACCAACTCTAATGACTACTTTTCTTGTATTAGATTTACAGACACCATGTGTGGTAAGGAAGCAATGGTCCTTTATGTCCTTCATTGGTGATGTATAGCTGGGAGAAGATTCCCGATTATAAAGATTACACTTTTCATGCATCTGTAAATCTAACTCCCATATTTTTTGATGTTTTTGAAATGCAGCTACATTACTGCAGTGGTGGAAGGGTGATAACTGTACTTTCAATGATAATCCAGAGTGTACTGAAGAAATTCTTGAGAAATGTTGATGTCTTCTATTATTTCTTCTTTTCAGCAAATTAAAGATCTACATCTCTGCTAAACTAAGTAGAGGAAGAATTTCCTGCACACTACTTGCATAATCATAATGACCTGGAGCAAAAAAGTTTATGCCTTTATGAGAACTAAAATACTTGAAAGGCAATTTACACTGAAAGTAATAGGTGCAGGAGAAGAAGGCAGTTCTCTCATAAAATTATCTCTAGTCATTACAAAAATTGAGTCTGTCAGTGTGGGGAAAAATAAATCTACAAACAACATAAACTTGATCTTAATATGAACCGACAACGATATTCCTGGCATTCAGCTAACAGTGTTTTGCTATTTGAGCATCTAGAGAGACTATGCTTAATATCCTATACAATGGATATACAAACTGTAGCTGTCAGGCTTCTGATGATAAAGAGGCTAACAAAGTAGTAAATGAAAGTTGCCTAAAGAGCACAAAATCTCTTTCTGCATGTACATATATCTTGTCATCGATGATGGTCATAGCCAAATGAAATTAAACTTAGTTAACCATGTTTAAGAACTTCTGTGACCTAAATCTCCTTGCTGTGTAAGGATGAGTCCCACAATTTACAGAAATATCTGCCCATTTATCTTCGAATGCTTTTAAAGGCCTTTACCATGCAGCTGGTACATAGAACTTCTACTAGTCCAAGGCACTAATTAAATCCTAAACACCACTGTTCCTTTAGTGATGTAGAATATCTATTCCCCTTTTAACAGAGCCAGTCAGGTTGTAGCTTGACTGTTACAGTAAGTATATACCAGGAAGAAAAAAGATCTGTATCTGAAAGCCTGTTTGTTTTGGTTTTGTTTTTTTTTTTTTCCTTTCTCCCATCTGTATCTGTTTTTTCTTTTATCTAAATAAAGACTAGTATCTTTGGCTACAAATCTCTTATATACTTAGATCATTGTAATTATAAATACAGTTACTTGATTTTGAATGTGACTGGCAGAAACCCTTATGCCACAATGCACATTACAGAAATAGTCTAAATAATTTTTAGAAGGATTTTACTTATAATTGAAACATTTTATCTCTATATAGTTAATATTTTTTTTTCATTTACCTAAGGCAACCATGTAGCCTTCAAAGTTTTCATTGGTTTCCATTTCCCATGTCCCATTGTAATCAGCAGGCATGGTGGCAAGAGCTTAAATCCAACTTCAGATCAAAAGTGAGGCTGGAAACAGGATCTGCTAAGAGAATGTTTTATACACCTTTTCATATCTTTTTTTTTTATGAGGTTTATGGTTTTCTAGATAATACAGTTTAAGGGCCAGAGTGATAACCCTAGAAAACTTTGCCTTCGTTAACAAAGTTCAGTTGAACAGCTGGCAGACAAGGAACACGTTCTGAAATATGTAGTAACACAGGATATGATTTTACAGTGACCTTTGTAAAGAACTACTAGCTATTATGGGATACCTTTGGAATATATTGAACACAGTGGCAAAGTGTGCCACCCAGTTAAAGTTTCCCAGGTGAATTATCTTTTTTGTTCCTTTCTATGTGTCACATTTCCCTACGAAGAACCAATCTTACAGACCTGACTCACCCAGAACTCCCATTTAAAACTGATGGAAGTCTTGAATGTGCAAATGCAAGGCAGGATGAAAAAGGGAATTTTGAAAATATTTTTTGTTTTCCCTTGATTTTCAAAATATCTGTATACCAATAGCTGCACTTACACTGACTGCATTTCCAAATTTATCTTTTCATTTAACAGAAATTTTATCAAATGTCATGTTTTTTTTAATTACTCTGAAACGTAGCAGTTTGTGTTAGAAAGGTATTTTTCATCCAGCAGCATTACATTGTTGTGGGGATGAGCACAGATTTCAGCTGTGCAAATAAGCATATTCAGAATGCGTCTGAAAGGAGAATTTGGAAGTGCAGTAGAACTTTATCAGAATTTAAAGTAAACAAAGTAAGCACTAAAAGCATATTAATATAAGTTTAGGTTTTAAATTCTTTGGTTTTAATTAGTCAGTATAACTTACATATGGCTCTACAGATAAAATAATTGATCAGGAGTCCAAAACTCCTTGCTTGTCTTTTTTATTAAGGTTTAGAACTCTGACTCAGAAATAAGTACATTGAAGAGTTACTGATCTTATGATGTCTTCTGTATGCTTTCACTTTGTAAAAACAATGTAAAATTCCACAAATACTGAAAAATTATACAGGGATTAAAAAAGAAAAAAATAAAAAAAGTAGAGAGTTTTTGGAAGCCAAATTCTTAAAATGCCTTTGCATGATACTTAAGGAGCTATTTTAAAAGAAGCAAAAGAAATATCTTGATCTATACCTACAGGAGATATTAAGAGGGTTTTCAGTCAGATGTCAGGCAAAGGCTCAAGGAACTGCAGTGACTGAAAACTGAAGTTAGGTGAATTCCTATGTGAATGCACACAGAAAGATATCTGCAGCGTATAATTTGTCTATAGACCAGTTTACCCAGGGAAATTGGTAATCACTTTTTGAAATCTTTAAATAGACAGAGGGTGGCTTTCTAAAACATATGCCTAATTTCAAGCACAATTTATTGGGCTGAAGACATCTAATTATGTATTTACTTCCACTATCAGAGTTTCTAGATGAAACACTATGAATGATGTTTTGTTGAAAGAGAAATTTGAAAATCTTTGTGCTTAGAACATTGTTCTGTAGTGATATTATGAAATACTTACGCAATAGGTTTGATGTTACATATCTTTGTATACTTTCTTTCTTAACCTCCACATTGCATCAACATTAATAAATATGTTGTTATTATTATTTATACATTTTATGTGTATACTAAAAGATTCTATAAAAACAAGAAAAAGAAAAGGGTATTGTTCCCAAGTCAACCAGTCACAACCACTCAAAATCAGCTGTGTAAGCAACATCAGTTCACTTGTGCACATGCAGAATAATCTTTATGTGCATTATCACACTGTTTTTCCAACTGGAAGTTGTTCTCTCCTTCAGTGTACTGAAAGATTGATGTCCAATTTATAAGCAGGTACTCAGTGTTTTACCTTATTTCTCCAAATACCTAGTGGTGGATTTATGAAGAATGAATCAGACAATGTCTACAATTACCTTCTAAAATCAGAACATATGCTAGAAGCTCATGGTGAGACATTTTATATGCCCATTGATTTTCGTTCTGAAGGAGTATACTTCCTATATAACTGACATTTGGGTAAGAAGTGGAACTGACTGAAACTGTATCATGTGTTGATCAACAATTAACAATCATTAAGAACTAATAAAGAGATAGACAGTTCTATTACTGTAGATGCAGAGCTAGGGACATTCAGAGAAAATTAATTATGAGATGAGAACATCCTTTATATATAAGGCCATAATTAATTAACAGCATACACATATGATTGTACAGGTTTTCACAATGATGTTTTGTTAATACCTATCCCTTATTATTTGTTTAAATAACTTTTTAAAAATTCTGTGTGTTATGTAAACTTCCTATTAGGAATTCTCTAAGCATGTGTTTATCCATCAGCCTGAAATAGCTCTTTTGAGACTTTACAGGTAAATATGCAGCTAGGAGGTTTACAGACACTAAATTTAACCAATCAAAGAACTGGCTAAGTAGGTAATTAATAAAACATGGAATATTGACTTGACAGAGTTCTGTAATGCTTCATGAGCTTTTAAAGAGCATTGTGTTAAGGTCCACAGAGAGAATTTTCATTTACGAATCAATATCTTCATAGACAATAAAACCTCTACTACATTCAAGTGCCTGCCTAAATCATATGGAGCCAAGAGACAGTACAGATGCTGTTAACAATTTTTTTAAGGCCCTGTGTGGATAATCCTAAATCTGCAGATCACTGACCCACTGTATACTCAAGATTCTCTTGGGTTTGTGCCGTGCTAATTTTACTGATCTGCCTCTCATCAGATTTCAGCTTTAAAATGTGACTTATTATCCACTTCACATCTTAGAAACTATTCTATTTGCGCTGCGTTTATTGTTGACGTACTACATACATAGAGAAAAACACTCAAAATGGCAAAACAATATTTCCTTCCTATGCCACAAGTATAGATGTGGGGAAATGAAGAAAAGATGCCCTCTCCTAATCGTCATGATTATTTTATTCTCAGCATTCGTTCCTTGCAAGACCACCAGTAAAATCACTAGGGATACCATGTATAGGATGTATTGAACCCTGGGAATATGGGGAGGGAGGTGTCTTCAGGTTTTCCAGCATGTATGTTAAAAAACAAAGCTCTGAGCTCATGGCTTGTGTGTCTGGTTTCAACCCAGGAATAAGTTTTATGGCTGAGTAGTAAGACCTTGGAAATAAAGCAAAGCCATGAAAAATCAACAGACTTTTGTTAAAAGCCTAAGTAATTTTTTCAGTCATTGTTCATGAAGAAACAAAGATGGCTTTTCTTGCCTCTGTCCTACAAATCAATGTTAATTAGTAGCAGTTTGAAACAAAATTTCTCATAAAAAGAGTCTAGACTGACAAGATTGAGAAGTGAGGCCCGAATGTTGTTTCTGTGGAATGAGTCAGCAGTCATGGATGCTACTTCTAACACTTGCCTCCAGTTCTTCTCACTGTATCTGAGACCTGCCTGGAAGAGAAATCCTATATGGGTAGCTGAACAAAGTTCAGCCTTCTTGCTATCTGACAGAGCTGTTAGTGTGTTCTCCTTGGGAAAGATTATGCTGTGAGGCACTGTTAGGAGCACTATATAAAGAACAAAGCTACTGGTCAAAGAGAATTTTTTCTCTAAACTTTTGGGCATGGTATTTTGAAGTGATGGTAGCATGTTCCCACTCTGTCCTTGCCTCATTTCATTTTCCTTTTAAATTATCTAATATGCATATATAACACAGGAGAAAAATGCCTTGTACTCCCCCGATCAGCCCCTACACTCCTCATACTTGACAGCTGGGACTTTTGCCTATAGTTATTTGATTGTTGTTTAACACATAGAAATATGGCAAGCTGTGTAAGTTGTTCTTAGCAACTGAATTCCCCTGAAGGATTCAGACAGAAGCAGCACGGTCACAGACACCTATTATTATTTTTAACTTGTTAGCACATGTGCACTCACTAGGTTTATTTTTAAGAAAATTAATCATTTGAAATGTATTCAGTGATGGCTGCTACTGCAAAAACTGTCAGAGGTGCTATCTCACCAGGCTTGGGGCTCTGTTCAGCACAAACACAAGTAGTCACTTTATGACAACTAAAAGTAAGTTGGAAGGAGGCAATCCGCTTCTTGTCAGTATGTAAGATGGCTTGTAAGCCTTGAGGATTCAGCTGGGTGAGGATACTCATCAGCTACTGGGCATGAGCAGTAGAAGAGGTGTACAGCAGGAGAGGAGAGACTCAGAAGGTGTTAACTTGCAAAATGGGCTCAGCAAATAGTATTTGATTGCCCAGTTGTTAATGGTTGCCCTCCCCCAATATCTAAAGTCACTAAACTACCTTGAATATCCCCTAGCTTATAAACGTTCTTGCCAGGTCAGTCACAACTAAGTATAACCAAGCCTACCTCAGTGTCCTGGAGTTAATTAGAATTTTGGCTTCTGACTCTTTTGCTCACTTGCTTGTTCAGGTCTGAACTCTACAGAGAGGGAGTTGTACATATGGTTGTTGGCTCAACGTTTATTGTTTAATGTCAGTTCTTAGCTGATCATGACAAAACAGAAATCTGCAGGAGCAAACTTTTTGTTGACACCTAAGAGAAGGGAGAATTCCTTCATTTGTATCTCAGTAGAGGAACATGTCTGACATGTTGTTGACAGAACAGTAGGGATGGGTTGCAAATGCTGTGGTCGGGTGAGGATGTACACATAGCTTGTAGTTATGAGAGTTTGACACATTTTGTGTTTACCTTCAATTTAAACAAATATGCACAAAAATATGTTTTTAATCTCCCTTTTAGAAATTAAATAATTGGCTTTCTGCCATTGGATTTTTTTTTTCTTAAATCAATGACTGCTTGTCTTAAATCATTCTTATCTCTCTTACTCCATCTGCTTTTGCTGATGACGTTGGATGCAGGTGTTACACACTTCATTAATTAGAAGCCTTCCTCCTCTCTAAGGACTTTAGCTTAGCTCTTAGAGACTTCAGAATGTCACTCGTGATCATCTTCTGAGTTTGATAGTAAAAAAAATCCAGTGGATCCTACTGCCATGAGAACTCTTATTAAAGT